TGGCACCACCCGTCATCGCCCGCATCAATACGACACATTTGATGTACTTTTGTTCTAGTTTTGTTATTACTTCAAAATTTGAACATATGGAAGTATGAAAATAAGAGCATTCTCCCAATCGAGCATAAATTCATCAGTTGGAGGTCAGGTCACTTTGATGCAATTACGCTCACAGGTCCTAAAACATATAATCAGTTTGACAACTTTTCGCTTCATGGTTAATTTTTATTCCATCTCTGAAATTTGTCTGAGGCATGTGTAGTTTACTTATTGTGAAGGTGTATTGAAATCTTCTTTTCAAGATTTTCTGAGCCGAGAAGACTTGATAGAAAAGCTACGAGCAGAAAAATTCGACGCGTATTTTGGTGAACAAATTAATCTTTGTGGACACGGACTGGCCTACATATTGGGGATCAAATCGCATTTTTGGGTGTCCAGGTGAAGAGTTGAAAAACGTACATATTTTGTCTTAACCAAGAGTGGTATATTTCAGTTGCCCCATCAGCGATTACATGGCCTGGCTACTGGGAATGCCTCAGCCCTCATCGTATATACCTTCGTTAATAGGCATGGATATTACCCATAGACCGAGTTATTGGGAAAGAGCGCAGAACATTTGGTCAACATTTCTGTATGTTCAATTCGCACGTAGGGGTACAGTTGAAGCCACCGAAATGTTCCGAAAGCGATATGGGTGAGTTCATAACGAGAGCCGACCACTGCAGAGTAATGTTGCTTTGATTTTGGTTTTCAGTGCGAACTTCCCAAATTTGGAAGCGATTGCGGCTGACTCCGACATGGTATTCGTAAACACAGATGAATTTGTCGACTTCCCCCGTCCTACTCTTCCTCATGTGGTTCATATTGGAGGACTGGGGGAAGGAAGTTCATCGAAGAGCCTGAAATTAAATAAGGTATGTCATTCCTGAGTAAGACCTCCGAGGTCATTGGAGATAAGAGAGGTAAATTCAGATATTCTCCGAGCAAATGGAAAAAGGATCGAAAGGAGTAGTGTACTTCTCGTTGGGAACGCTCGTCAACACATCATCACTGCCCGCATTTGCGATGAGAGCCGTCGTAGATGCGGTCAAAAAAACTCCTGATTACCACTTCATCTTGGTTACAGACAGCAGAGATCACGTAAGATATGAAGAGAAATGGGCAAAATGATTACTTAATTACCTAAAGTAGAGGAATGTACCTCTATGTTGTCGAATCCACTCATTCAGAGCAGCAGCAGCAATCGTATAGTAATATCATTAAAAAGAATCAAAATCAGTCTATTTTATCAGCGAGCTAAAAACAAATCCATCATTCTCAAATTTCCGAAGAGCATTCTAGCTTCGCTTAATGTTATCGCTAATTGCTGAGCAATTATCCGCTTTAGAGCAAAAGAAAATCAGAAATAAAATCCTTTGACTCACACTCTTTTTTGGTTTTGGAATTTGTAACCTTTTGAGCTGTCCTAGCCCTTAATCGCTGACGTGTTCCAGATTCTTTTCTTTCCTTATGTTAGTGCTCATAAATCGGGAGGCTCAAAGCCTTGCAATACAGTCTCAAAAATGGATTAAGAGGCCCGATTTTCCTGCCAGCATATGAAGAAGACCGAATTTCCGAAACCGTACAAAGGTGAACGGGATATAGCCCACTCCGACCAAATCTTTACAACACCGACTTTTCTAGAGGCCGGGTTAAAGATTTCGCTATATGCTTATATGCGAGACAATTAAAAGCAGCGAATCAGTCCGTAACTCGAGAATAAGCTGGTGAGGAGTTACGGTAGTAGTTATTACTATAAGCAAGTGACTATTGCGAGCGTATCAAGTGAGTGAATGATCGCTATATAGCATAGTAGTATAGCTAGGTAGGCAAATGGGTTCAGTATTACAAAGGTGGAAAGGGAAAGTGGGACAAGCAAAGCATGAAGCGCATGGCGGCAGATGGAGCTCGTTGTGAATTGAGAGCTGAAGGTCATCGTATGAGAGGGGAGCACAGTTGAACGACCACCAGTTAATCAGGTAGCGATAATGATCACGAGAACAACCTTCTTGAAATGTAGGGAAGGAAATTTCTATAGGCCTCTCTGCAGTGGTATCTTATTTCAGTGTTCTGTAAAACTCGTTCCCATAAGTAATGGTACGGTAACTTGATGCTCCTAAGTTTTTCCTGCAGCGTTACTTCTGCAGCAGTCTCATGCCTGGTGCTGAAATTTTCAGGCACCCTTTTCTGCAGGGGAAAGTACCAGCCCTCTCGTGAGGGTTGCTCGAGCATGACAAACTTACGAATTACGCACGATTTTTGAACGGAGAATCAGTTTCAGTTCACACGACATCTTTCCGAAGCTCTGCCAAATGTCTTCCTGTGCAGTTGGGCGCCACAAGCTGCACTTCTAAGTAACAAATTACCATAATTTCCCATTAAAATTCTTATGCAAAAGTTCATAAATAGGCATTGATAGTAGTACATTGGAAAACCGTTTCATTCAGGTCATCCCCGTTTACAAGCTTTCATAACGCATGGTGGGTACAACAGCATAATGGAGGCATCACGATACGCTGTACCGCTGGTGACGATACCATTTTACTTTGATCAAGTAAGGTAAGGTCAGACCTTATTCACAAAATTCTCTCGAGATTGAAGATACAAGTTTAAGGAACAGTCGTGCTGCTGAATTGAATGGCTGGGGAATTCCAGTGAATCGATTCTCTCTTCGTGATAATCCGGACGGCCTTTATCAAGCCTTACATGCTATTCTCAGTCATACACGGTACGTAGGCAGTTTGCTACTGTAACGGTTATGTGATGGAGTGACCGAGAACAGGCCCTACTCACCGTGTATAGTGCCTATTTTAGTTGTTTCTAAAGAACAACGCAGATAGGCTGAAATAGGTTTTCGGTTATTTGTTGCTTCGGAACAAGTAGCTTCTTGTTGGCTTCATGACAACTAACTATGAATGAGACAATCAGCTAACTCGCCGACTATCCCTTCTGCGTTTTCATCGCATGGTACCACGTTCCCATACGTTCAAAAGCGCAGATCATGATAATTTTTAGGTATCTACATTTTTTAAGACGTGTGGCTGAAGTGATAGCACATAATAGTCCAAAAAGGTGAAGAAAACTTGTGAATCGAAGTATGTAGAGGAATGTAAAGCTCTGAAAAAGTAGCAAAATCAGAGAGTGGATGAGAATGTGATGACAAAAGTTTTGGATGTTATGAGTGGTTGGACGACTTGTCCAAATGTGTGTACAATTGCGTGCATCTGGACATACTAAGCTGATTGCGTGCAACGTGTAGGACACGGTGCGAATGGTACAGTTTCCAGTTTTCACAGCGCCGTGAGAACTCGTCCGCCGTTAGGTGTGTACGTCGAATTAACCGGTCATGATGCCTTTGTTACGATCTACGTGGGCGTTTTTTGACCCGACAGCGTCCCCTCTGCTATCCTTGAGGGCCACTACTACGTCCTATGGAAAAACCTCAAAAACCACTTTTAATGTGAACTGTTCTTTTGAATAGAATCAGCACTAGACACAGAAGAAAAATTGATATCTAGCCTCAAAGTGGCAACTACTCAAAAGCAATTTTTGTAGGTATAAGCAAGCCGCTGTACGAATCTCAACTCTGATACGAACGAAACCATTCAAATCCTCTGAAAAGCTTATAAAGTATACTGAATTCGTATTGATGAACGGTGGTGTGAAGGAATTACTTGCTGAAGGTCGACGGCTTCCTTTTCTACAGTATCACAATCTTGACATTTTTATTCCGTTAGGAGTTGCTTTCATATTTGCTTGCTGGATCTTCTTCCGATTGCTATGCACTATTTTCTTTATCGCATTTCCACCTGTCAAACAAAAACTGCAATAACAACTTTGGAGAAAATTGTAACAAGAAAGAGTAAACAACAAAATCACATAAACAACGATCATCTGGACAATAATACAGAATGCACAATAACACGGTCAACAGCGAGACAATAACAGTGAGAAAGGCGAACAAGTTTCACTTGCGGAATCTATCAAGTATATTTGTAGGCTTCGAAGAGGGTTCGGGAGTGTTTTTTCCGAACACCTCTGCTTCCACCTCTCTTTTCTCGTTGATCCTCTCTTTGCGTATACTGTCGACCACCATGTTTTTCCGATGTTCCTGGAAAAGGAATTTTCTAGTGTTCACGTGGTTCATGATCACACAGATGCAAATTACATCGCTTTTATTTAGTTCCGAAAAAATGGCGTAATGACCAATACCTTGAAACTCGCCCCATTCCATTTTTCGTGTCCTCTACAGACAGCGTGCGCCAAACTTAGTCTTTTTAGATGAAATTTTTTTGGCGTTAATCGATCCCGTCTGAAGGATGCGCTCCGCATTCGACTTGCATTCAAAATCGTAGTGGCGTAATGAATGCGTACGTGGCCTATACAATGACTTGAGGTGGCCACCCAATGTACAACTCAGTGCTCTCATCCTCCCAGACAAGTCTGGTATCAATTAATCGATCCCAGGAGAAGGAAGGATTTGCTGGACCAGGCGAGCATCGATCAGGGATACGACCCCGTCACCGTGCGTCTCAGGTAGTGCGTCTCAGGTAGTGCGCCACTTGCCATACACCACCTCCGAAAACATGCACTCCAAACCACTCAATTGTATGACCTGAGGGAGATCTACTCTAAGCCCGGGAAATCTTTTGACATTTTCGTGCCATCCTGGACGACCTCTCTTCGCGTCTGAACACATGTATTGAGCTCAAGGAAAGCATTTTGAAATGTGAAGCAAATTTATTGTGGTATTATCCCATTAAAAAATCATCCCCTGTCAAATGCTCTACCGTTTTTACCGTTTTCGCTTTACCATGAACACCCCGTCAGATAATACTGACGCACCTCGTAAGTGACTATCACTTACGACTAACTAACGACATAATGCACGTAGCTAGGGGGGTACTAGTCTGTACCGTGGATCTATCGTCACTCCAACCGACCAGAGTGTACAACTACAGTTGAAGAGGGGAAAAGAAGGATAGCTGATGTAAACAGCGTGTGGGAAGGGTATCTTCGAGGAGGACTACTAGGCACTTAATGCAAAAGCCCTTTTACCTAGCCAGGGAAAAATTAGCTCCTTTTCTGCTCGCCCTCACCATCGCAAAATTTCAAAAACGCTATAAAAAATCCACGGAACTTCAGAAAGTCTTGCATTGATTCAAAAACAAGCAGATTAAATTTCAGGAAAGACAAACCCAGCACAGAAGGATACCTGCTCGCGCTAGGTCTGTCTCTACCAGTGAAAAATGTTCAGCTTTCTCAGATCAGAAGCCCCTTTACTTTCCTATACTAAGCCATCCTCCTAAAAATCTAACAAGGAAGGTCTTTCAGGGCGTGGGACGCTTTTTGAAAATGGTTTTTTGCATGGTATAGGGGCATGAGCACTGAGTATAGAACTATGGTCCATTTCCGCCAAATGGCTTTCTGGATTCTAAAAAAAGAGTGAAAATGATTTTGTCAGAAATTGCCGTTTTAGCTCAATAAGCGTCGCTCCTTTCATTCATGACGTCGACTGTCCGCTCAGTAGGAGGCGCCGGTGGAGTGTGCATTAAAAATAATGTGAACAGTAGCTGGAAAAGGGAGCCACTTGTTGAAAAGTGCGGGGAAGTTTCATATATGCTCTCCACGGGGAAGGTGCTTGCAGCTGGTGTGGGGGATAGCGATGTGGGCTTCGAATTGTGACGACTGGGCCGGGTTAATGGCTCGAATCCTCGGGGCTTTGCCGTTTTTGCATTTTATGCTGCCATCTCCAGATTGGCTCCATATTGCACCAGCGTTAACCTCTACAAGTCGTTAGAATTTGATGTGTGGAGCTATCAGTGAAGGAGCTTCCAGGCTTCACACTCCCAGGGGTCCCCCTTCCCCTCCCCCCTCAACTTCCTCACATAGTTTTTTTCATCAAGTTTTTTTCATCAGTTCGGCTTTTTTTGCATCCCTCACATCCAGAGTTCATTCAGTTGGTAAAATGTTGGTGAATTGGTATGATATCATTCTGGTAGTCAAAAAACTCGTTATCACATCATCTGGTCTTCGGACATTGTATGGAGATAGAATTCTTTGAATGTTTTGGACAGTAATAGTTTGACTGATCTTCTATTTCGACCGAATTCCTTCAGAATTGATGAGAGACGCATCTAATTTCGATGATTTCACCGTTTATTACCCTGGCTAATCTCGCGCTGTTGAAGGGCTTTTGTCCACTGTTCTGGTTGGTCATCTCCATTTCCTTCTTTCCTTACGATCAGTATCTTCAACAGTCACCTCGACTTCAGCAATATCCTTCTTGATCGCGTCTTGCCAGCCCTTCATAGCAGGACGCGGAGTTAGAGGATCGTGCGTTGGGAACGGGTATCGCCCAAACCTACATCTAGTCATTAATCTTATAACCTGGCGCTTGAATGATTTCCTTCAGGGGTGACAGCTTTTTTTTGTCAAGCCCAATGCTCATGGATCCTTCAGCAAGAGGACGAGTTGAAAGAGAATCTGATTCGTTTTCCAACAGAAGTCCGTGGTTGACTCCCAGGGAAAAGTGGGAATCGGGAGCTACAATGAATATGGGAATCCTGTTATCTTTGCATCGACGAACGAGGTCGAGAACAGCTTCCATTGAAGTCGACCCATATTACAGGGTTCTGACCCCCATTACAACACTTATATAGTGTGATATTAAGAGACCCCTTTATACTTCTGGGACTGTGAAGCCTGGAAGCTCCTTCACTGATAGCTCCACACATCAAATTCTAACTTGTAGAGGTTATCGCTGGTCCTGGCCACGACCATGACCGGTCAGGCACTTGCTTTTACACTGGTGCAATATGGAGCCAATCTGGAGATGGCAGTATAAAATGCAAAAACGGCAACGCCCCAGGGATCCAAACCATCAACTCAGCCCAGACGTCCCAGTTCGAAGTCCACATCGCTATCCACCACACCATCCGTCGCTGCAAGCATCTGACCCGAGGAGAGCGTATATGAAACTTCCCCGCACTTTTCAACATGTGGCTCCCTTTTCCACCTACTGTTCACATCATTTTTAATGCACAGTCCACCGACGCCTCCTACTGGGTGGACAGTCGACGCCATGAATGAACGAGCGACGCTTATTGAGCTAAAACGGCAATTTCTACAAAATCATTTTCACCCTTTTTTTAGCAATCAGAAGGCCACTTAGCGAAATGGACCATAGTTCTATACTCAGTGCTCATGCCCCTATACCATGCAAAAAACCATTTTCAAAAAACCTTCCTTGTAAAGCAGTAACAAAACCGAAAGCAGCTGATAAAACTCTCAAAAAACCTAATTTTATTACATG